TCACTCTGTTGCTCAGGCTAGAGTGCTGTGGTGTCAGCCTACAGTACAGCAACCTCAAATTCCTGGGTTCAGCTGATCCTCCTGCCTCAGCCTCCCAAGTAGCTAGGATTACAGGTGCCCACCACAATGCCTGGTTAATTTTTTTCTTTCCTTTTCTTTCCTTTTTTTTTTTTTTTTTTTTTTAAGTAGAGACAGGATCTCACTCTTGCTCAGGCTGGTCTTGAACTACTGAGCTCAAAGGATCTGCCTGCCTTGCCCTCCCAGAGTGCTAATACTATTGACGTGAGCCACTATACCTGGCCTAGAAGGAATTTTAAAGATAATGCTCAGATTTCTAGTTTGAATAAGTGTGTCACTAGGAGTTTCAATGGAAAAGACTAAGAAAGAGATCTGGAGGAAAGATCTGGCATTCTGCTTTGAATACGTTGAGTTTAAAGTACCTGTGAGACAGTAAACGAGCCACATAGGCATTTAGATATGTGAGACTAGAATTCAAAGGTGAGATTTAGTTATCACTGTCCTAAAGCTGGTATTTAAAGTCATAGAAATTGATGAGATCACCAAAGGAGTGAATGCAGAGAAAGAGGGCCTAAGAATAGACATAAATATCACAAGTTTATCATCCAAAGGCAGAATCTGGAATGCATACATGTTTTAATTGGCCCATATTTAAAATTAAGAATGATTTTACTTCCCACATTTGAAAATTAGAATTTACATAAAAATCCAGATCCCTGCATCTTAGCACCACAGCAAATGTGCAATTTACAAATAAACATATAGAATTGCTTAAAAATATTTTTGCTATCAAAGTTGAGAGACTTCTTTAAACATCTTCTTGCCTTGTAACCAGAGGGATATTTTTTTAAATGTAAAACTGATCATGTCAGTCCCTATGTGTGTGTGCATATGTGTATGTATTTGTGTACAACTTTCTCAACAACTTTACTTTATTCTTAGGATTAAGGTACAAATCTGAATCAGTTTTTTTTTTTTTTTGCAGTTTTTGGCTAGGGCTGGGTTTGAACACGCCACCTTTGGCATATGGGGCCTGCACCCTACTCCTTTGAGCCACAGGCACCGCCCAAATCGGAATCTGTTTTTTTTTAACGTGGCTTTAAAAGCTCATCTTAATTTAATGCCTATAAACCATGCATGCCAATCTTTTTTTCGAGAGGGTCTCAAGCTGTCACCCTGGGTAGAGTACTGTGGCATCATAGCTCACAGCAACCTCAAACTCTTGGGCTAAAGCGATTCTCTTGCCTCAGCCTCCCAAATAGGTGGGACCAGAGGTGCCTGCCACAACACCTGGGTATTTTTTGTTGTTGTTACAGTTGTTATTGTTGTTTCAGCTGGCTTGGGCTGGGTTTGAACCCACCAGCCTCGGTGTACATGGCTGGTGCCCTAACCACTTAGCTACGGGTGCCACCATGCATGCCAGTCTTATCACTCAATTCCCTTCTCCAATTTGTTCATGACTTAAACCAACTTCTTTTATTATACTTCTTTGACTACATTAACCTTGTCTTTACTCTAGATGATCCTTCTAAAAGGAATGATCTCATTTTTTAAAAAGCTCTTTGATATAGTCAACTCTAATTTATTCTTCAAGTCCTAGCTTAAGTATTACTTCCCTGGAGAGCTCTCTTTTGACCCCCTGTATGAGGTAATAACTATTCTTTGCGTAGATTCCCATAGCTCTGAAACTTTCCTTTTTATATTTTTAATGGTTATTTAAAGTTCTGAGACAAAAGCCATACTTCTTCTTCACTCCTTTATCTTAAGGGAAATGCAGCCTTTCCTCCATTTGTGCAGTGGAGAGAAAGAAAGCAAGCTTAGGTCTCTTCCTTTTATAAGGACACTAGTCCCACTCCCTATGACCTCATCTAAACCTAATTACCCCCCAAAGATCTCACCTCTAATTACTATGGCACTGGAGGTTAGAGCTTCAACATATTGAACTGAAGGGGAGGAACAAAAATATTCAGTACATTACAATGTCCATCTGTGAATGAACCTAGAAAATATGCCAGAGATAGAAGAAAGAAGCCAGATACAAAAGACTACATATTGTATGATTCCACTTATATGAAATGTTTAGAATAGGCAAATCTATGGAAACGAGGTAGATTAATGATTGTCTAGGGCTGGAGAGGTTGAGGGAAAGTTGAAAATGACTGCTAATGAATGGGTGTAACCTTTCTTTTGGAGGTGATGAAAAATGTTCTAAAATTAGATTGATGTTTGCACAACTCTGAATAAACTAAAAACAAGTGAATTGTACCCTTTAAGTGAATTTTATGATGTGCTAATTATATCTCTATAAAACTGGCAAACAAACTTTGGCAAAAATTGGTGTTTGCTTTTAGGGGCAAAACAAAATATTGTATGAAAAATGTGATGCAGCTCTATTATGACTCTTTGCATTCTAAATGTATAGAAAGGTCAGTTGCAGCAGAATGATTTTTAAAAGAAAGGAAAATAGCATAGAAAATGGAGGAATAAACCTAATGCCACTCCTTACTGAAAGAAATCTGAAACCTCAGAGTAGCCATCAGAATAGATTTTCATAAGAATACATTTTAATGTGTTGTGCAGATTGGTGAAAGGAAATAAATTGTAGTGATCTCTAAAAAGTCAGACTTTTAATGGATCTGTAAGCAAAAAGTCCAAAGGAAAACAAAAAGACTTTTAATGCTATATAATTTAACAGTAATAAGAAAACATTTTGAAAAGGTTTTGATAAAAATAGCCCTGAGTAAGGTCTGATGAAGTAGCCATTCAACCTTTCAGAATTAATAGTCATCCCTTGTTCTCATGTCATTTTTGTTTATTTACTTCATAGTATATTGTATGATCTAAAATAACCTATATGGTTTCCCCCCTTTCATTAATAAGTTATCCACCTTTGCACCTTTGAACTTCTCCTTTGGGAAAAAGACATGAACCATCCTATTTCCTTATTTCTCTAGTGAAACAAAGGCAATAACGATTTGATTAGTATTTCCCCCATCTCATTTTGAGGAGTAAAAATAGTGTAATAATGATTTTTGTAAGGCAAGACTAACAAAATAGTTTGGAATTTTTTCTCAGGTCACTTCATACAAATTATATGGTGACACCCTACTTACTATGTTTGTTGGAGTAACTCCCAGACATCCTTAAATTTAACCTCTACCATCATTCTTGCTTTATAAGTATTCCTTCTTTGTGCTCCGGTGATGCTTTATGCATATCTCCATGCATCCTCCCTGTTTATTTGCCTTTCTCATCCATGAGGTTATCATCGTCATTAGGGCAAATGACTGGATCTTTACACTTTAGCATCTGTAACTGAATTTGTCAAATAGGAGGTGCTCAGAAAATGCTGAACTGAACTTAATCAGAGAAGAAGCCCTATTATTAGATGTTATGGGACTGATATTTGGTTAGTTGGTTTTTTTAAATTGAAGCATAGAATTATTGAAATATATATATATAATACACATACCTTGAAGATTATTTTTATTTTTATTATTATTATTTTGGCTGGGGCTGGGTTTGAACCCGCCACCTCTGGCATATGGGGCTAGCGCCCTACTTGTTGGAGCCACAGGCACTGCCCTGAAGATTATTTTTATTAAAACACATAATTTTAACTATGTGGCTGGGCATGACAGCTTAAGCCTATAATCCTAGCACTTGGGAAAGCCGAGATGGGAGAATCACTTTGAGATCCGAGTTTCAGACCAGCGTGAACAAAAGTGAGACCCCATCTCTACTAAACTTAGAAAAAATTATCCAGGTGTGGTGACACGTGCCTGTAGTCTTAGTTACTCAGAAAGCTGAAGCTTGAGTCTAGGAGTATCAAGGTTGCTGTGAGCTATGATCATGCCATTGCACTCTAGTTTGGGCAACAGAATGAGACTCTGTCTCAAAAAAAAAAATTAAAAATGCATATAGTTGTATAATCTTTGATAATTATAGGACATGGGCTTTGACTGTGAAACCTAATTTTAGTTCTATTTAGTCTTTCTTGAACTAAAAAGCAAATTTTTTTTTAAAACCCTAAGGTGAAGCAGTTTATTTAAAAAGGAGGGACTTGGGGAAATTTTGAGAAATGAACACAGAATCTTTTTAGACTTTTACTGTTTTCCCCAATTTTTAAAAGATATCTCAACCACATCTGATTCAATAGCAATTTTTATTATCAGCTCACTTTTTTTTTTTGAGACAGAGCCTCAAACTGTCCCCCTGGGTAGAGTGCCGTGGCATTACAGCTCACAGCAACCTCCAACTCCTGGGCTCAAGTGAGTCTCCTGCCTCTGCCTCCCAAGTAGCTGGGACCACAGGCGCCCGCCACAACGCCCGGCTATTTTTTGGTTGCAGCCATCCTTGGTGTTTGGCGGGTCCAGGCTGGATTTGAACCCACCACCTTAGGTGTACATGGCTGGCGCCTTAGCCAGTTGAGCTATAGGCGCCGAGCCTATCAGCTCACTTTTATTGAGTCTATTTTAAGCATTTAAAATAGTTTTGGAGAAATAGCAACTCTGTTTTTGCAGTCATATTTCTGATAAGTAAATACAAATGGCATTAACAATTTTGAGAACAAACATAACTGGGTGGCTCTTACCTAAGCATGTAAATCAGTTATTTGTATTAGAAGTGCAAGGGTGTACTAAAGAGTAGCTAACCAGCTATGAGCATTAATACATCCTGACTATCAGGTAATATATTTCATGGAAATAATTATATTTCCAGTATATAATATTTCCATATATACTAAGTAAGTCTGTTAGTGGAGAGAATTTAAGAGAACTTATATAGTACTTATTTTCTTCTGTTCCTAAATTTCATTAATTATAGCGCTTACTCAGAGTCAGCTGTGTTTTGCTGCAAGATTTAATAAGCTTTGTTTTTCTTAATATTTAGTGCTTTGAAATGTCTTATTGTCTTTTCAAGTCACTCTGGCCACCCCCAAGATTTCATGCTAATTGTTTTTTCATTTATTTTAATTTCAGTGGTAGGAATGGGATCCTGGTGCTTCCACATGACTCTGAAATATGAAATGCAGGTGAGTTAATGACAAAATTGACAAAATGCTTATTTCTCTTAATTCAAAGACATTTCAAATTTGAGAAGAGCATATAATTAAAAGATGGTTAAAAGATGGGATTTCTATTCTAATTCACATCAAAGGATCCATACTGAATAAGTAACATAAAGAAGCAAACTGATGAGTTGTCCATAGAAAAAATAAGTGAAAGCCATATGTAGATTTTTGACTACTTCTGTACAAGCCTATATAATTTAACACTAGCATTATAGAGTAGAGTCACGTGGAGACATCTACAAAGATATAATCAGTTCACCAAAGCAATATATTCTTATTCTTAAGTGCCTGCATTTTATTATGTCTCTATACTGTTCATTTGAATGGTCTATTGCCTTAAGCTAGAAAGCTTTAAGACTATACAAGGATTTTTAGTTTTGTGCTCTAAGGAGGCCATTTATCTAGTTCTCAATGCTTTCTCACTAACCCAGAAACTTCTAGAACAGCATCGTCAGTAGAAATAAAATGTGAGCTACATTTGTAATTCAAAATTTTATAATAGCCACATGGAACAAAAAAAAGATATGGGTGAAGTTAATTTAATAATATATTTTATTTAACCTAATATATCTACAGTATCCATCAATATATAATCAACATAAAAATATACTTATAAAGTGCTTTGCATTTTTTTTTTTTTGAGACAAAGTCTTTGTCACCAGAGTGCCGTGCTATCATAGCTCATAGCAACCTCAAACTCTTAGGCTCAGAGCGATTTTCTTGCCTCTGCCTCCCTGGTAGCGGGGGCTACAGGCACTCGCCACAGTGTGGGCTATTTACAGGGACAGGGTCTTCTTGTTCTTGCTTTGGCTGGTCTCAAACTCCTGAGCTCAGGCAATCCACTGCCTTGACCTCCCAGAGTGCTAGGATTACAGGTGTAAGCCACCATGCCCCAGCCTCTTTTCACAGTCTTAAATAGGGTATATATGTTACACCTGCAATATATTTCAGTTCAGATTAGGCTTATTTCAGGTGCTCTCTAGCCCTACTAGAGTGGCCCAGTGTGACAGTCAAAGCATGAATGTGGCTTACAGGATATCAACATGGGGTGGTGGTTCTTTAACACAGCACATTGGTACCTGAGTCAGGTGATGAGAAAGTTCACAGGGGGATAGTCTAGTGTAGGGTGTCAGAGCTTATTTAGGAGTGAGGTAGGTGCTTGTACATCAGGACAGCCTAGGACAAAGTATCAGAGACCAAGATGAAAAGGGTACTCATGCAGAGGGGCGGCTCAGTGGAGAATAAGGAGGGTGTTCACACAAGTAGAGGAAGTCATTTGGCATATAGTTGGAATCTGAGTGGGATGGTGAGCATGCAGTTTTGTGCTGGGCTTTGGTACCCTGGCAGGATAAGGTAAGTTACATGTGGCAGAGTGGCCCTGCGCAGGATATGGGAGCATGGGCAGAGTGCAAAGGTCATCTAAATGGGGGTCCAGCAGCAGCCCAACACAGACTATTGGTGTCTGAGTGAAGTGAGGACGGCATTGCTTGGGAGGAGAGGTAGCAATGATGAAATACATGTTAAATAGAGGGAAATCATTCAAATAAATAAATTTACTAAAGATAATGGGAGCCAGGTTTCTCACTGTTAGAGAACAGAGTAGCAAACATAGAAAAGATGAAAACTAGAATGACCTCTGTGGTAATGAATAGAAACTGGAGATATCAGTGCAAACTCATGATTTCAATACATACCTGTATATTGAAATGATATAAAAGTATATGTGATACATATATGTATATTTATGTATACATACTTACATATTTTTATACACATACACATATATATTCTCAAACTTTGTCCATGAAAGGATCTAGGGGCAGGGGACTCCAAAGCCAAAGAGCACACCTAGTATTGAGATCGTATTTTCTTAAAATTATTCTCCTTTAAAAGGAACCACGGCTGGCTGGGTGCAGTGGCTCATGCCTATAATCCAGCACTCTGGGAGGCCAAGGCAGGTGTACAGCTTGAGCTCTTGAGTTTGAGACCAGCCTGAGTAAAATCAAGACCCCATCTCTACTAAAAACAGAAAAACTGAAGCAAAAGGATCGCTTGAGCCCAAGAATTAGAGGTTGCTGTGAGCTATGATGCCGTGGCACTCTACCCAGGGCAACAGCTTAAGACTCTGTCTCAGGCTCGGTGCCTGTGGCTCAAGCGGCTAAGGTGCCAGCCACATACACCTAAGGTGGCAGGTTCGAATCCAGCCCAGACCCACCACCAAAACAACAATAATGGCTGCAACCAAAAAAAAAAAAAATAGTCGAGCGTTGTGGCGGGCACCTGTGCTCCCAGCTACTTGGGAGGCGGAGGCAGGAGACTCGCTTGAGCCCAGGAGTTGAAGGTTGCTGTGAGCAGTGAAGCCATAGCACTCTACCCAGGGGGACAGCTTGAGGCTCTGTCTCAAAAAAAAAAAAAAGAAAAAGACTCTGTCTCAAATGAATAAATAAAATTAAAATTAATTAAAATTAAGAAAAAAAAAGAACCAGGGCTGATTCAAGGACTGGGACAGAGAAAAAAGAACCACGTGAGCTTCGAACATCTTTTTATGCCAGAAAGTATAGAAATGCTCAAGGAATGATAGGGATATATCAAAAAGACACTGAGCCAGGTACAATGGCTCACACCTGTAATCCTAACACCTTAGGAGGCTGAAGTAAGAGGATCACATGAGGCCAAGAATTTGAGACCAACATAACAAAACACAAAAAGTCTTAAAAAGTTAGCCATGGCGGCACATGTAGTTCAAGCTACTTTGGAGGCTGAGACAGGAGAATCACTTAAGCCCAGATCAAACTGAATTATCAGCTTATCTTGTACTTGAATTGGGTAACTAAATATTGCTCATAGAAAATCTCAAATAACCAATCAGTGCCTCAAGAGAGTATCATTATTCTTTCCCTAAAATTTCACTTTTCATCCCCAAAACAATTTAGAATCATAGAATTTTAATATTAGAAGAGATTTTTAAAATTGGGTTTAATCCACAAATTTTATAAATGGAAAAACAGGCTGAGAGAGTGGAAGTGGACTTGACTAGGAGTTAGGTGGAAAGCTAGAGACAAGATTAGGACCCACTAAATACTTCTGTTCAGAGGAATGGAGGAGTCCCAGGGTTTTTCAATTCTGGAATTTCACAGCTGAATAGCTCTAAAAGAACCATGTCACCTCCTTGTTCCTTGCAATTAGCGGAGGATAACATAGACATTGGATGCCTTTTATCTATCTATTTGGTACCTCAGACACACCCTCAAGCAGACAAGTTCTCCCAGGAATTAGGAGATTTCTGGTAGGAATTCATATTGCCTCATCCTATGCTGACAATCATAAGGTACTTGTGGTCTGTACTTAACACCATATAAAGTTATGACTGCCTAGTTTTTTATTTTTATTATAATTGTTCTTTCCTGACTTATAAATCATTGTTAACTTAGGAGAGGACAAAAGGAAATAAGCATCACCCATAATCCCTTTACCCAGCTATAACCAGTGTCAACCTGCTTTTCCCCTGGAAAGGAAACAAATGAGTTGGTTTTTTTTTTTTTTTTTTTTTTTTGAGACAGAATCTTACTTTGTTGCCCTCGGTGGAGTGCTGTAGTGTTATAGCTCACAGCAGCCTCAGGCTCTTGGGCTCAAGCGATGCTCTTGGGGTCAAGTGATCCTCTTGCCTCAGCCTCCCAAATAGCTTAGGACTAAAAAAATAAATATAAATAAAAGATTAGGACCCAGATTTCCTGGTACCATGTTTAGAATTCTTTTGTTTGCTTTACTTATCTTAGGACTTCGTCACACATTGATAGTAGTAGAAATTTAAAAGGTTTAAGTTTTAACAAAACTCTCCTGGATTTTATTTTCATTTATTTATATTTATTCAACTCATTCCTTTTTATTTTCACTAACTGATATATACAGTTATTAGTATTCCTGTTTCTTAGTTTTTTCTTTGTATTTTTTCAGCCTTTTCCACATGTTGTTTACTGAGTACATAATGTTTGAGATTATGAAAACAAATGTTAGTAAAAACAACATGTTCATCTATTATTCATAAGTAAAAATAAATATATTTATCTTAGAAAATAAAACCAAAGTCAAGTATTTGTTCACTTGTCACTTTGTTTATAATGCAAAAATAAAAATAGCTTAAATATTAGGTAATAATTACCTATATATATATATACCTATATATAATATTAGGTAATTTGGACTTATAAATAATAGATGTTTTGGTTATAAATACTACCTTTCTTTCTTCTTTGCTCCTTATCTCAGTGAATGAAACAACTTTATACTCAAAGTCAAAGCCAGAAATCTGTGATTCATTTTTGATTTCTCCTGCTTCCTCACCTCTATGACACTAAGACCTCTTGATTCAACTTGCATAATAACTCTTGATCTTTCTATGTCTAACTATCTCCATTATCTCTACCTTAGTCCATCGTCTCCACCATTATCTCAAACCTATATTTCTATAACTGCTTCCTAATTATTTAGGTTAGTCCATGCTTCCATTTGTCATACTGGAACACAACTACTTTTCCTACATAGCTAATTGTTTTCATTCTTTAAGCAGTGTTTGCACATGTATTGAGAATGAGATGTGTAAAATATAGTCCCTACTCTCTAGTAGATGTTTTGTTTGTTTTGTTTTGTTTCTAGAGACACTATCACCCTGAGTAGTGTGTCATGGTGTCCTAGCTCACCTCCAACTCTAAGACTCAAGCAATATCCTTACCTCAGCCTCCCAAGTACCTGAGACTATAGCCACCCCCCTCTTTAATATTTTGTATAGTTGGCTTGGTGCCTGTCTCAGTGGTTAGCGTGCCAGCCACAAAAATGCAAAAGATGTTTAATATAAAGCCAGAAGACCATGGTTCAGATGTTTAAATAGATGAGCCTTCTGCCTCTGATAAAATTTGTGGTAGATTTAGCAGCAGCATATCATAATTCTGTGCCAGTTTTTTTTTTATCTTTTTAATTGTTTTGTTTTGTTTATTTTTAGATAGAATTCTCACTGTGTCACCCTGGTTAGGGTGCTATAGTGGTCAGTCTAGCTCACAGCAACCTCAAATTCTTGGGCTCAAGAGATCCTCTTGCCTCAGCTTCCTGAGTTGTTAGGACTATAGGTGCCCACTATCATCCCCAGCTAATTTTTATGTTTTTAGTACAGTTAGGGCCTTGCTTTTGCTCAGGCTGGTCTCAAACTCCTGAGCTCAAGCAATCCACCCAGGTTGGCCTCCCAGAGTGCTAGAATTACAGATGTGAGCCACCACACCTGCCCTATGCCAGTTTTGTAAAAATTTGTGAAGGTTATTCACAATGCAAAATGTTCTGGAGGCAACATAATGTATAGTTATGCTTCAGAATCTTGCTGTGCTACTTATTACCTCCATGATCTTGGACAAGTTACCTGAACTATCTAACCCTTGTGTTCTTATCTTGAAACGGGGATATTAATGGCACTGATCTTAGAACTGTGAAATTAAATGAGATAATGATTGTCAAGCACTTTACCTTAAGAACTTACACAAATGCTGTTGTTTTCATTATTCTAATGATTTGCTAGAATACATCATTCACATTGCAGAAGCACTCTGCCAACTTCCTAGAATGCCTTTTTCCTCCACTCTGTTTCATTCCAGACATTACCTTCTCTGGTTCTATGTGCTGCTTTTGTTGGATTCTAACTACATTTCATCAGGTTTTTTATTCCTTTAACCTCATTAGACTGTGAACTCCTTGAGGGGAGGGACTCTCTGTCTTGTATCCTTGGCACATAGTAAACATTTTATTAAAGAGTTAATTAATATCTAATTAATTAGGTATCTAGTCATAAATAAACTATAGGATTGGTTTGAGGATTAGAAATAACCTATCTAGAACACCTAGCTTAGTGTTCTCATTGCAGTTTAGTATATAATAGCGGTAATTACTATTACTGTTATCATCAGTGCTAATAAGAATACATTTATTTTTTTAGAAACATAGGTTAATTGGATTAATGAAATTATTTCCCTGGCCATTGATAATCTCTTTTTATGTATATTGGTGGACATTTTATCAATTTAGGGTGCTATAGGAAGCAGAAAATACAAAAGGATACTGATAGGACCCATAGACCATTAAGTGGTGGACATCATTCTTTTCTGGAGGTATGGTATCACGGTTTGTGATTTTGAATGATATGAAAAGCACAATTACAAGGCTGCCCTTCAGGAATAGTGAGTTTGTCTTCCTAGTTAGTTTGTGCTTTAGGACTGATAGATGATTACCATGTTTGTTCAAAAACAATAGAGTAAATTAGATGATAAATGTAAAAGAACTAACAAAATAAGTAAGAGATGAGAACCTTAATCATACTGATGTTTTATTTTGATTTATAGAATAATTGCAGCTTCATAATATTCAAGCCTGTTATTGGTCTTTGTTTCTTATAGCTGCTGGATGAACTCCCAATGATTTACAGCTGTTGCATATTTGTGTACTGCATGTAAGTACTTCTATTTAAAATTCAGTCGTTTGATGTATTTTTAAATTCTTATTGCTTCATAGTGAATTAATATAGTGAACTCAGTTATATCACTAGGAGACTGTAATAAAGTAGAAGGTTGTAAATTTTATGATAGCTTTGTAGAGTATAATTTCTGAGAAGTAGTAATAATGTTGATTGTTAACGTTTGTGATCTTGAAACCCTGGATCTGGATCCAATTTAGTTAAAATTTTAATTTGGCTTAAATTGTATAATTTACCTTTCCATGGCTAAAGGATGTATACAAGTTTAGATAAAGATTTTCTATATTATACCATAGAAGTTTTTAGGTGAAGTTTCTATATATTATTACATGAATAGTTCCTGAACAGCTTATCAGAAAAGAGAAGTGCCCTTCTAGTTATATAGTGATTATATCATTTAACCCCTTTTTGCTTTGAAGTTATCTTTTACATAGGTACTTGTTCCCTTTAAATTCTTCTTATTCTAAATTAGAATAAATGCTGTTAAGAATATGCTTATTTTGATTGTTTATTTACAAACATGGAAGAGAACAATGAAACAAGTTACAAAAAATTACTAATCCAAAGTTCCCTTCCTGAGTCATATTCGGTTTAGTTCATTATCAAGTTAATTTGCATTTCCTAAGTGTCAGAGAAAAAAATACAAATTGAAAGACAAAGGTAATTTTGATAATAACATTAATGAGCACTAACATTTATTTATCTACTTTGTATTGAACAAGCAACTGTACTATGCTATCTCTAATTCTCAACAATTATGCAGGATAGATGGGTACTATCCCCATTTTATGGACAAGGAAGTATAAAGCACAGAGAGATTTAGTAATTTATCTAAAGACATAAACAGAGCTTGATTTAAAAGCATGCCAGCCTAGGCCATTGCCTAGATAAACAACCTCTAAGGGACACTGAAATGTCCCTGGAAATATATCATAATGGAGAAAATTACAATGGTCAGAATGCCTCTCAAGGAGAGAATATTTTGATAGGCTGCCTTGGTATGTGGTGGAAATATAGAAGTAGGACCCTTCCTTATGGAGTAACAACAAATGATTCTTTTTTTTTTTTTTTTTTTTTTT